GTCTCTACTCTCTATTTGAAGGGTGGATTTTGAGGTTTTACCCTATATTTAAATTAAATTTAATAAATTTAAATTTTTATAATAAATTTAAATTTTTATAATAAATTTAAATTTCTAAATATAAAAATAATTACTAAATATATAAAAAATAAAAAGCAAAAAGCAAAAAACAAAAAGCAAAACCATAGCTAAACAGAGCATAAGTTTTCAGTTTTGACTCCCAGAAGCTTCTACTCAATAAATTGCCTTTTTTAATTTTTAATTTAGTTTTCAATTCTTAATTTTAATTGTTAAATTTTGACAACTAAAAACCAAAAACCAAAAAACTACCATACTAAATGAAACCTTACTTTTAAACATTTCTATACATTATATATGTGTTTTTTCGATAATGATGTTATTTTTGGCTTTTAATTTTGTTCACTAAAAATTTAACAACGCCAGCTAAAGTTTTGTTTAGTATAGTCGTAATCGTGAGTTTTCAGTTTTAGGTTTTACATATTTTATAACTCTAAACAAAAGACACTTCTACTTTTATGTGTTTTTACAGCAAAATTACCTATTAGCGAGGGTATATTCTGTTGTTAAAAGCTCTTATTCTAGTCCTTTAAAGATAAATAGTGATTTGACGGCATGCCCTGGTCCGTCACTACATGTTTAGTGGTTAAAAATTTTTATTGTTCCCCAAAGATACCATTATGGCCATCAATATTTTACTTTCTATTTCTTTAAATTACTCTTTTACCCACTCAGGGAAGGACAAAAGTTATGGGGATAGAGTTGAAAAATATGTATTTTCTTAATTTGAGTGTGTTAAATAAGTAATTTAACAAAATAAAAAACAAAATATCAGTGGCCTCAATAACATCCCTCATAACCATAGAAAGTAACACACCATCCCATGCTTTAAGTATTCATCTTTATCTCCACTAAATTAGTTTATTACAAGGGTAATTCCGGTTGTTGAATGCCAAATAATTCTCAATTTAAATGACAAATATACCAATCTATTATTTCTAATAACAGCAATTCCCCATCGTTGCAAGTGGAAGATAATTTATAAGGATAGTAATCTTTGTCATTAAATGAAACAAATTCCAAATTTGAGAACAAATAGCTAGAGAACCTGCCTTTTTTTTTTTTTCCTTTTTAAACATTAGGAAATTGGGGGAAGGGGGATTAAGTCACAAAAATTTGAACCATGGTTGTATCCATGATCTAAGACACACCCTACCATTGGAGCCATGGCTGCAGGTGCACAAGAGAACCCACCTTCACAAGAAATAAATTTGACAATAATAATATAAACCATAATCTTCCTTAATATTATCAAAAGTTAGATCTTTACATACACGAGTGTAAATTACCACACGAGTATAATTTACCATCCAAAATTATCAAGTATATAAGTCTCATTCAAATTCCATGTGCCTAAACCAAAGATACCACAAGGCAGCAATATTAAATACTTCATTTTCACATAAATGGTTCGGCGCTTGCCACATGCTCATCTCCAAGACTTTTCCATTTAAAAATTTACAATGGTAGGTTATAATCACATCCAAAAGTTAAAATTCATTTATGCAAATTTTTATTCATGAACAATGTCTTAACCATAACACCTTAACTAAGCTTTCTAAGGCTCTGGTTCATTCACAGCGTGTGAATGATGCTTCAAATAACACATTTACCACTTAACTTTTATAATGGTAGAAGAGAAACTAATCCAAGAGAGAAGAGAAATAGGAAACAAAGTACAACAAACACATTTAATTAAGCAACAATGCAACTAACAGGTTTTAACCAATCACATCCTTCAGAAAAGAAACAAGGTCCTTTTAAAACACATCATTATGAATTCCATTTTCATGATTAGAGAATCTAGTTTTGACCGAAGATTAGAGATTGCCACTGTTTCTCATTTTCATGCATATCAAGACATGAAAACTAACGAATGGTTCCTCCTAAACTTCCATCCAATTCGAAGAGAAATTTTAATAGCAAGAAAGCCATATAAGTACTCAAAGCCAAGACCTTCACAAATTCATAGCATCATATATTATGTATTTTTGAACTATCTAATTCAACACGTGTGAGACCAAAAATAAGGGGGAAAAGGAAGGCTCAATCTTTAATCCAATTCACAGAAACGGCAATAGTCACTTTAGCAGTAGGGATTTGAGTTAGCACTGAAAAAAAAAAGAAAAAAGGGAACAGAGAACAGAAAAAACAAGGATTCTGCCAAGGCAAACTAAAAAAATTAGGAAAACACTATTAGAGAGAAAAGAAAATAAAGAAGAGAGAAGAATATACCTGTGAAATGATTTGAATTTCCGTTGGACTATGCAACATAACATCCCTCCAATAACAAAATAGAAACATACCACAAAATCCAATTGTGCACATTTTTTCAGTGCACATCAGGTACGTCTGGAACAATAATTACAAGTAAAACAAGGTTACGGCAACCCAGAACATCACCAATATGGCCAACATAAAACAAAAAAAAGGGAAGCAACAAGGAAAATCTTCACTGATAATAGCAGTTAGAAGCATGAAATTAATCAAAATTCAAAAGCAAAAGATGAAAATTTGATAAATGAAATGATGAAGGTTAGGGAGAATACTCAATTACCGGTGTTGGCCAGTGAGAAAGAATCAACCAAGCGAGAGGATCAAAACCATCAAGGAGGAAGCTGATTAAGGAGCAAAATAGGAAATAAGAAAATCAAAAACCCGATGATTCAGTTAGTTTTTTTCACTTTTTGCAGTGCTTCAACTAAGCTAGTTCAACACACCAAGATATCCAAATGCTCTGTTTTAATAAATAATGTTCAATCTAAGTACTTGAAACAATCCTGGATCATCAAAAAGAGTAGCCAACCAGTGAGTTGGCAAGGATGAAATTTTACCCAAAAACACACTATCTGATGAAATTTTACAGCAAATAAATTGCTAAATAACTCACCTGTTGTTATTAGCATACCAAAAGATAAAAATT